ACGATTACCAGGAGTGTGGAGGCCCCTGGAATTGGATTCATTATCAGAAGAACAACCTCTCATTTGCTTCCAATGACCCTGAACCCTGAAGAGCATCTGAGGAAGGAACCCTCTTGTCCTTTGCATTTAGACACAGCAGGTTAAGATAAATTCGGCCAAGATTCAAAGCTGCTCTGGTCTAACCAAGTGTTGAAGTGCCTGGTGGAAGCTAATGAGAGTCAACAAGCCAAAATCAATTTAACACAGAGGGGACGGAGACTGCCTGAGGACTTCATGCATGTCTGCTTTACATTTTTGTTGAGTTAAAAGGAAAAAAGAAACAACATCTGAACATAACAACAGAACAACTACAAGTGTTTTAGATTTTAGCCTGAAGGAAAAGAGGATTAAAAAACAGTCGCAATATCTGCTTTCCCATCCACTGAACAACAATAAANGAACAACTACAAGTGTTTTAGATTTTAGCCTGAAGGAAAAGAGGATTAAAAAACAGTCGCAATATCTGCTTTCCCATCCACTGAACAACAATAAACGATACAGAAAGCTTCATTATTGTTCGTCACTTATAATGGCTCCATTCAAAGGATAATCCAAGACAAGCAGTTCAGATTCATATAAGCTTAAATCACAGAGCTGGGCTGTGACAGCTCCTTCGCTAACCATTGAGTGTTTTTGTCATGATCTGACCCGATTGCTCCACCTTAATTGCTTATTTCTTTCCGTTTTCCCTCCCTGCCTTAATTATCATTTATTCCTTTCACCTGTTTCCTTTGGTTTATATTCTGTTCAGCCTAAGCTTTCAGGGCCAGATCATTTCATTTGTTTTCCTGTTAGTCTGTCTGAGTGTTTTCTATTTTATTACACGGTTCAAGTCCTGGATCCTGGCAGCCAATGGAAGGAGAGCTTTGTGTCTGTCTCATCTCCTGCGTGTCCACTGTTCCTCCCCTGCTGAGCCCTCTAGGTTTTTGGCTCAATGTTTTTATCCCCGTAAGCCTGGCTCCAAGGTGGAGACCAATTTAAAGGTCCTGCATCAAGTTCTGGTTCCACATCCTGTCTCTGCTACCCTCTGCCACTGAGCCTGTCCGTCTGCACCTGATCCTGTCTGCTCCTGACTCTGAACCTGCCTGGGAGCGTGTGGATAACCTGGAAGCCTGGAACCTGTCACTTGTCTGTTCCTGCCTGATGTGAAACCCTATCCAGGATCGGCTTCCTTCGGGTCCTCCAGGACTGCAGCCCCAGGGACAGTCTGGCTGATGCGCGCCTCGTCAGTTTACAGTCCAGCAGCTGGATTGCGCACCTTTCCATGGAGATGGACTGGACTGTTAAACCAGGTAAGTGACCAACATGGATAATCATCTTTTGTCAGATGATCGTGGTCACTCACCTGTGTTTCTCTTATGAACAGAGTGTCTGAGATTGGGCGGTGCCCCGCCCCCCACCTGCAGTCGCTGCCAGCCACAGATCTAACAGCTCCACTTTAGTTTCTGTTTGTTAGTGTTTTTGTTTCAATAAACGTTCTGAACTTTCCTACTAACCGTCTCTCCTTGAATACTTGCTCCATCTGTCACGTTTTGGCAATTTTTCATGAAAAACCACTTCAAACAACCTTAAAAACATTTTGTAAAATTTGGTAAGTTGCTTTAAATTTTGCCGTTTGCACATAAAAAAAAAACAAAAACACTGAAACACATAAATCAGACATCATAGGATTGTGAAAAAGTGTCTTTTTCTGTAGTTGTTTCTTTTCTGTAGCTCCTTTATCCTTTCTAATTTGTAGTGCTACACCGAAAGACAATGGTTTCTACCCCTTGTTTAAGAAAAGAAACCTCACAACAGTAAAAAGAAAAACCTTGAATCAAATAAAGGTAATAAACACAAATTCCTTAAAAATGAACCAATGAAAGTCAGACATTGCTTTCAACCATACCTTAGCAGATTTAAACATCAAACTCATAAAACCACTCTGGTTAAATCAATCAAGGTGTATCCTCTAATTAGCATCACAGGTGTTTACAATCTAGCAATCAGTCAGTGGGCCTATATACAAGGCTACAGGTGGTCACTGTGCTGTTTGGTAACATGGTGTGTACCACACTCAACATGGAAGCAAAGGAAGCAGAGTTTCCTCAAGATATTAGAACACTATAAAAAAGAACCAAATAAGACCATCTTCAAGCAGCTTGGTTTTCCTGTGACTACAGCTGCACATATTCATCACAAGTATAAGACCAATGGAACTGTAGCCAACCTCCCTGGATATGGCCACAGGACGAAATCTGATGACAAATAAAAACTGACCAAAAAGCTGATGAGAAATCAAAGAGATGGATAATGTCAACAAAAGAGCCCAGAAAAATATGCAAAGCAATTAAAAGGGAACTTTAATCTCAGGACTATCAGTGTCCGGTCACACCATCCGTCAATTTTTAGCCGAAGTGGAATAATTGGGAGATGACCAAGGAGGACATCAAAGTTTGAGCCAAACTACCATTTAACAACCTACAAAGCTTCTGGGAGAATCTCCTATGGACAGAAGAGACAAAAGTAGGAACTTTGGGCCAAGGCTAATTAGCTTGATTATGATAGAAAAATTAAGAATATAAAGAAAAGAAAAACATGGAGGAGGCTCTGTTATGCACAGCTAGAAATAGCCAAGAATGGCTGAGAGGAAAACATGGGGCTCTTCTGAAGTGGCCTCTAGGAGCCCTGACCTCAATCCTGGAGAAAACCTGCTGAGAGGAACAGAGGTCTGACTGATGCTACGTTCACACCAGATGAGCTTTGAGCAGCAAAAAAGCTTCTGCTGCTTAATTTTTGATGCTTGTACAGATTAAGATCAGACACGCTTCAAGAGCAGCTTTGATGCTCCTGAAGCACGTCCAGTAAAGTGTGTCCAGATGCATCTGATGCTTCTGATGCTCCTTGTGTTCACTGGTTTAGCTATATTTGCTGTGATGAGCTGGTAAAAAGTAGTTTTAATATATCTTTAAGCAACAAAGTCCACATAAAAACATTGTGCAGTCAGTTCATCCCAATAACGATCCTGTCTTATTATTATTTTGCTGTTGGAGCCGCTCAGACCCCCACATACCGGCGGTGCTGTCACTGGGAATCCCCAGCAACAGCTGGGTGTTTTCCGCTACTGTTCATCGCGGCTGGAAGCAGATGTTAGCGTTTTTTTACATACATAATCCAAACTGCAGGTACCAGAATAATAAAATCGAACATATTTTGACATTTTAAGTTAATTTAGGCATTAATAAACTGTTTCAGAGGAGTGATCATAGCGATCTGCATCAGCTGCACCGTCTGTCTTCCTGCCAGCTTCTAGATCAGCT